CAAAAAAACCATGTTGTTTTGTGTGGAATAATCATCGGCTCCTTGAATTATGATGTATCTTGTAAAGTTGAATGACAGGGAACCAGGATGCGTACTCTAAAGTTTAAAGGCTAAGCCATCTTTAAAAGAACTCATAGACCCAGATATCACTCCTATCAAAATCGTATGTTGTCTTGTTTAGCATCATACATCGTTGTTGCTTTACACTGACACTTACCAATGTCACTTGAATGTAGAATACCATCTGTAGTACAGGTAACCAGAGAATGTTAAATCTCTTGGTGGATTTTCTAAATAAAATTACATTTTTTGTCGGAAACGTTTATGGAGATAGTAAATGAATTTTGTCAATTATCGACCTTAATTTAATTACTGTTGAACACTACAAAGAAAAACTACATGTGGAAATGTAAGTTTTTCATTGATTTTTTTAGACTGAGTTATTAAAATTCTACCGCAGTCTAAATTCAACAATAAACGATAATTTCCCTCAGTATGGTACATTAAAATTAATACCTGTTTATCGATAAATTAAATTGTATTTTCGAGTTAATATATATAGTTTTAATCTCTAAAAATATATTTAACCATTTATTTAATTTAATTTGTAGTTTAAAAATTACATTTCTTCTTTAAAATTTAACAATCAAATGTTCATTTCTCAAATGGTTTCACGCTGTTCAATAGATCAAATATTTCTTACTGTTCATTGATTGATTAGTTTAATTTGCAAGTGACCGTCTGCAATGAAGAGCAGCATTCATGTTGCCTATACTTTAGTGATGATAGATTATCTAGTTCATTGTGTCATAGTGTAGTTTGAATAGTGAAATTCATTTCGATTTAATAAGAAAAACTTCGAAAGATACAAGAGTGAATATGAACAGATGTGATTCTGGAGTTATGTCAGTCAGTCAATCAACAGAAAAGCAGAACTTCGTAAGTACGTACATCAATTCAAGTTGCCATACCACATTAGCACACAGATAGGATTGTCAATTCAAATCCCATATTAGTAGAGATAGGAGAAGTATTAGCAATAATCGGAGAGATGAGAGTTCAACGATACTATTCAAGAAGTAGAATCTGATGAAATAAACTTAAGAGAGAAAGATAAAATGATGAGGAATTCTGAACTTCAGGATTTGAGAGAACACAAAGAATGAATGCAGCTACGCCACTGCAAACGCTTTTGAGTCTAGTCATTCAGGGTCACCAACCATCGATTATTATCACCAGTTAGTCAACATCCACTAACATTCTGCAAGATCGTCAACCAGAACATTTGTATTTACGTTCAAAAGTTAGTTATTAAAAAGATTGATTTTTTTCAACCCTCTCTAATATTCTTTTCGTGTTTCATTTCGATTTTTGCAGCTAACAGTTAATAGCTCTCTGATTTTATAAGGAAAACATTTTCCTTCACCAAGACTGTAAGGCGATGAAATAAACCGAAATTTTTGCTTCAAAAGAAACATTTGTTAATTTAAGGGATAATAGATTATTTTGGAACAACTTAAGCAAAATACTGTAACATGTTACATTTTGCTTCTTTCACTTACGAGTTCTTTTTTGTTCATGTTTTGTCTTCATGAAATGTTATTCAGTCAAGGTCAGACTATGATATTTCTGTTTGACACAAATTTTAAAGTCTACCTACGATATATACTGGATATCATACAAAGTTTTTTGGATATTTGTTTAATAAATCGTCAGCAAATAGACACACACAAATAGACAATGCTAGCTACAATTTCCGTAACACATGTCAGGGATTTTTCTGGTTATGAAGTTTAATAATAAAAACTTGCATTCAATGGAGAGTGTGTATTTTTGAAATTCAGTATATGAACAGAGGTCTCTTGCTATTTTGTACAATAAAGTTGAAGTGTACGAATCCATCACAGTTTCCTAATTCCTGAAAAGCATAAATGACCGTTCATAAGTCTTAATTAACTGAACCTACTCTTAGATGAGTAAACCCAAATAAAAGCTAAAGAAAACATAGTCAGTTGTATTATCGATCAATGTCTGATTTCTTATATAAAACAGAATACTAGTAGCTTTGTCCAATTATTAAACTAATAGTTATAATGAATTATAGCAGAAGGTAATGAGGGAAGGCTATACGAACAGACAGGAGGAGAAACAAAGAACATTGGGGAGATGGTAAATGGAGTGAAACTCATACCCTGATAGGTTTTATTCTCATAAGATCCACATTATATATATGTATACTATAAATATATATATATATATATATATATATATGTATATACTAATAAGAAATAAAATAATTAAATGAAAAGTACATTCAATGGACAAGCATTACCACAGAAAAAAAGTATTCGTTTCCATACTCACTTAAACTTCTAACTGGTAACTGAGATTTATTCACTGTGTATATTTTTATTTGAAAAAGAATACATTTTCCTTAAATTTGATGAAAATCATGATAAGATTTTGAGGAATAATGACATTTGATCGAGAACCATTAGAGCGAGGAAGAAAACTGCGCTATTGTATGTACCCTGTTTATAATATAAGAACAATTTATAACCAAGTTTTATAACAGATCAACTGGTCTGAAAGTACGAAGACGGTTATAACAATTTAGAGTTTTTTTAGTTGCATCTGATAATTGATCTGTTACAATTTGAGTTAATTTGCTATACCGTAGGTTCAGTGAAAATAGCTCTCTTTCGGTAACTTCATTACTCTAGGGGAAGTTGAATTTGTTAATCAAAGTCCGTAGGATTATCAAGAAAAGTGTAATTTTAACGTTTTAAAAAATTGCATTGGGTGAAGGATATATCAATAATTTCAATAAAACCATCTCATAGAATCAGTAAACAGAAAATTGCTGTTTTTTTCCAGTTATCTCACTAACCACTACTATAGTTTTAGGAAGGAATAACATTAAACTCTAAAATAAAAAAAAAAGCTGACTTAATCTATACCAAACTAAATAAAACTACCCACTTTTCCAGATGTATCTGTTTTTGTCCACCTCTTTTCATCGACAATATCTACTTTTAAAAGCACTTAATTATTCATTACTTGACACATAATTTTTCCACGACATACTGTCATATCACCAAAAAAACCACAATTTGTGTCTATTCTCAAGAACGAAACCTCTTCACACAGAGAAATTTTATGAATTTTAAAAACAATTCATACAACCTTGAATGCTTGAATATTATATACGACAAAAATTCACAAATGTTAAATATCGATCAGTATAACCAACTGACTTTTCATAAATAATGAAGTAATAACTTATTATCATCACTATAATTGATAGGAATACAATTCAACTGAGTAAGAAAAAATTGCTTATAATTTTATGCACTCCCAAAGCTTTGCTGACTAAAGAAGTATTTGATTTTTCCCATAACTGTTATCCTAGAGCAGACATTTTAAAACGTATCTGAAAACTAACTGCATAAAGAAAATATTGCCAAACTTTTGCAAGTGAAAGATTCTGTTTTGAACATGGCTTCCATAAACAGTATATGAGTTTTCATACCTTCCTAGTTCATAATTACGAGAAAATTACTTCACATTTTATCATTGATATCTAATAGTTTTTTTTGAAAACACTTTTTTTCACATTTTCATATAAATAACCAAGTCACTTATCAACTAATTGAGAAACCAACATTTAAAGCCATTGGCAGATGAAATTCGAAATTATCGACTCCCAACCTCGATCTATGCTGTAAATAAGTTTGATTAGTCTTACTGAACAGACTTATGAGTACAGAATAGTTGATTATCTGTCGCCGTAACTTCGGTTTGGTTTAGATGGGCCATCTTCACTACAAAGTAATACTGAACAATTGTTGTCCCTTATTGTCATTCTTTTGTCAGTGAGACTAAGGCACTCTTAAAAGAAATAATCACTTATGTACGTTTTCTCGGTCTGTAAGCATTTAATATGAATGCATTCTTATAATTATAAAAATCTTTTCATTCATAGAATCATCAAGTGACCAGGGAGTTATAAAAACCCTTATTTTTTTCAGATATCTCTTGATACAAATTATTTGATAAGTGAAGTGAAAATGATGCACGTGACGCGAAATTACATCTAGGTAACCTCATAGATTTCATGGTATTGTGTTCCACCGAAACTTTCAACTTTATTCATCATACTCTCTCTAGAGATTGCTTGAGATATTTTATACCAGGCTATTACTATTGTTGGACGGTATAATAGAATCCACAAATTTAATTAAGATCTTTTTTGAAAAATACTTGTAACATTTTCATATTTTACGTTGTTTTATATTTTTATATTAAAAATTTTTTCTACTAGTTAGCTTTCATATTTTTTTTTGTAGACAGTTCTCATACTCAGGCGACAACTGATCTACCTGATTTGTTATTGCGAACGCAATAGCAGTCGCCATTGGTGCATTTTAACGTTTTAGAATAAAAACATTTCTTTTGACCGATATTTATATCATTAATGACATGATTAAGTGGGTTGAAAGTGAGACTATAAATATATTGCAAAATATTTTTTAAAAAAAAACCTACTTTGACAGTGTAAACGTACCGCGAACTCACTGTCTTTTTTCATAATCATTTTAAAAAATTATTGTTCTCACTTCCATCCCAAATACAAAACATGCAATCGATTTAAACTCAGTTTGTTGACTATATCTTCCTGTATCGGTTCATCTAGTCGGCGTCTAACAGCTCCATAAAATATTCAATGAATGCAAAAGCATTTAAAGTCGGTCCCTGTTTTTTGTTTACACGAAAAAAAAAACGTTTCCATCTAAGTGAAAACAATACATACAACTGGAAAGAATAGGTGATCTCGAGAAAAAAAAAGCTAAAAACATTTTTATTTCATTCAAAAAGTGAAATGTTTATTATTCTTGTCAAATGACTTTGCCATGTTCAATATCTCAATAAGCATATATTAGTTTGTACTTGAAGATACAGTGTTCTTCTCCTTATTTTTTCTTTTTTCAAATTATTAGAACATGTTATACCATCATCGGAGAAACGTTTAATTAAACAGCTGATTGATAATTATGAAAAAGCTGGTAAAATTGGACGTCCAGTGAAAAACACAAAAGATCGTGTTGTTGTCGGTTATGGGCTATCATTATTTCAATTATTGGATTTAGATGAAAAAAATCAAATATTAACAATCAATGTTTGGGCAAAATATGTAAGTAAAAAAGAAAATGTGATTGTTTTTTTTTTGTTTTGTTGTTTTATTGAACAATGTCTCTCTCTCTCTCTCTCTTGATTTTATCAAAAAAATAGTAAGGTGAATTTTTAGAAAATGAAAATAAATTTTCATAAATTTCAATATGAATTATAATTTCATGTACAGCAAAAATATACAAGTAGAACTAAGCATTAACTTTATTTTACGTTCATTGATTAATATGATAAATTGAACATTTTTACAAGAGAAAATTATCCAACAGTTCCGGTATGTTAGTTGTCACAATTAGTTGTACAGTGATAGTAGTTAGCTTACAATAATCTACATGAACACTTTATTCTTGTACATGATTCTTTGTTTTTAATCAATCTATGATTGAATTCATACACACTAATCTTACATTATCAATGATAATCCAATATTATGCAAAATCACGTAATTTGCTAATGATATTCTCATTAGATTGAATAAATATGATTCACAATTGTATCTTTTGAACAACTTATTTGTTGAATAAAATACTGAGATGGTTGAGGAAATTTGTAGCTCAAGTGGATGATTGTGGTGGTGTTTCGTTCTCTGAGCTGGACGTTTTGTTTGTGGAGCTTTCATTGTTCTCCTGCTGAACAACATCATCAGCACAAATTTCAGGTAGAGAAGTAAAGTATTCGAATTTCTCCACGTTTGACCCGTAGCTTGTTCTGTTAACCTCAATTTTGATTGGTTACTGTTGACCTTAAATCTGTCATTGTTTGCACCTTTGTTTTGATTGTATCACCCTTCTCATCTCTTTCTTGATCCTATGTTTATTATTTTTCTGATTGTTTTGAGGAGCTTTCTTCTTTGGTTTTTGTGTCGCCTGCCTGACATCTTGAATAAAGTATTTTAAAAATAGAGACAAGATAAATACACCCAAGATTGCTTAAGTGCTATTAGGCAGAAAAAATCCATTTTTTCTGTTGACGCTCAATCCGCTGAAATAATGCGTAAAATAGAAATTTATGAATTTCATTGAATTAACAAATCGGTCAGTGTTAGACTACCATTAGAAACCTGGAAGCACGGGAATCGAACCTAGAACCTTCGATTTCTCAGGTGAACGCCTAATCTTTATACCACTGAGCTGACATCCAGTGATACTAATGTCTAACTTTAATCAATCTGAGTTACTGAGTATTTCACCGATTGTCTTCGGCAGTTAAGACCTTAACAATCACCAAAAACTCAATCATAAAAAAAATTTATGAATTGATTTTACACGATATTTGTAGCGTATGCATCAATAACCGCTGTATTTAGTCATTTGGTGATCAATAAAAATATGAAATAATGAAATATGAAACAAAATATTGTGGCATGCTTATACTTTTTGTTTGTTAACTCAATCTCCATACTGAACGATTACATCGATTTGCAATACTTATTTATAAAATGCCATTATGAATATCTTTAATTGGTATTATCATTGTTAGAAAGGGCTTTAAACTATTCTCTTGTTAGCATATAGGATTACACTTGATAATTCAATGAATGTCAACAACGAGAAATTCTAAAATTCTTACTGATAATATAATACCCCTCAATGACTTAGTAGCTCAATACAGAATTGCATCGAAGTTTAAAGTGAAACATAGTGGATTTGAGTTTTAGTCTGTGTACATCAACATTGAGATGAACCCAGAGTAGGATAAAAACAAGTAGCTTACATCTTATTATTGTCTACAATACATCTAATCTAGAAAAACTAATAATGATTGAAAAATATATCATAAAATATACTCTTTTTGTTTAAATCAGCAATTTTATTAACTCAAAATGATCATATATTCCATTTAACCTATTTTTTCTGAATTCGGATGTGATTGTGGTGTTACATATAATTTCCATTTAAACATTAAAATAGAAAAAATTTTCAACAGAATGATTTTGTTTTAACGAATTTATTGTGAAGTATATATATATATATATATATACATATATATATATATATATATATATATATATATATATATATATATATATATATAAGTATTAAGGCCCTGGTGATATCTAAGAGATGCATAGAATGATGACGCAACAAGAAGAAAATAATCACGCTTAGTTATAATGGTGTAAATAATAATTATAACATTAAAAATTGTATATGTATACAAATAAAACTACCTGTAAAACACTGGATCATTATGAAAATGAGAATCTTTTGTTTTTTTTTTCGCAATAATTAAAAGGTATTAGACGCAATCCAAAAGATTGATGACCCAATTTACTAAACTGCTGATAAATATGAGATTAATCTTAAGATAATTATACAAAAGAAAGAAAATTGAGGTAGATTAACCTTTTTGATGCCAAATATTTATTGTCCTCATACTACAAGTCTCAATCACATTCATTATTAGTACAGTTTGGGTGTTTTTATGCATGAAAAGACATTGGTTGAATATATACATGTTTGTATTCAATCCGAATGAAAACACTTTCACTGGTTGTCTATTTAACATTGAATCAGTCAGATAAGTGTATGTGTGAAGTGTCTAGTTTTTTTATGAAATGCGTAATTTAATTGATTTGATAACATTGTGAACTATTCGAATTGCGTAATTAGAGATGTAAATAGCTAACAATGTTTTATAACAGCTTATCAATTGCTCAATCACAATATTAGCAAAATATAAAATATAGCACGTAATACAGTGCTTGGAATAATTTCGATAATGAAACTATCATTATTTTCTGATGAAAACTGCATCCTGGTCAAAAGCTGATGACCACTGCTCTTAAGTGTTTATTACTTTTCTGTCTCTCAACATGTTTGGGGTGTAAAGTCATGAAATTTAACTATTTTTGCCAGTTCTTATGCTAAAACACTACACTGTGACTGCTAATGACCAACTTTGAGAACTTATTCCTTTAATTACGAGAAGATATGTTTAGCGATGATGATGCTCAGAATCGAACAAATGTCGACACGGGTAATGGATAATACCGAAGTTACATATTTTAACTACTGAATGTTAACTCAGTAATCTGAAAGTAAGATGTTTGATGGCCCAGTTTCCAATCATTATTGATGTTGTAAACGAATGCTGTTGAAGATTCTCATACTAAATCGAAACAGCTGTTCAGCGCGTCTTGATTTGAATTCATAATGGGATGTGAAATTTCAATATGTATAATCACCAATTTACTATGTGGTATTAGTAACCGATATTTTTACCAATAAAAGGGGTTATATATTAAAGATTTTATATTAACATGGGAATGGGAACGTAGAATATGGAATCCGAATATCGATTAAAAACTTTTCCGATTGAAATAACCATCAATTATTTCATCGATATCGAGTAAGATATCGTCATAAAACAACACTCGTTTTGTTCATTCATTTTCGGCTTTTAATATTTCTTTTGTGTGAAAAAATAGTAAAACTATTTTAAAGAAACAACTTTATCAGTGACTACTCTACCCTGTGAAAATAGTTAACTTCATTTAATTAAACCAATGAATCTTCTTTGCTCCGATTCTTCCTGATTCAGAATAACATAAATTTAATTAAATATGAAAATATTGTGAGCATAATACCCATAAATAATATAAAACTTTTATAATCGATTTGGTTTTTTGTTTAACATGATGGTTACTAGAGTAACGCTTTGTGTATTAACTTTGAAATGGCATTATAGTTTAAATTGAATAAGAAGTTTGAGATTGATATCCGGTTGTTAAAAACTAATCAATAAGATATGACTTATAATCTACAGTTTAAAGTGTACATTAAACAGAACAGATAATACAGTGATAGAAAATGTGTAAATAATAAAGCTGATATTATTTTTGATAAAACTACAGACTGATAGTTCAATTTATACATACATCTACATGATGTCATCATATTTCTTACTAGATTAAATCATTATAATATTTTACATACCATAATCATTTTTATCTGTTGATCTGTTTTCTCTTCGAACTATTTTTAACTTAAACTACATGAAACTTGGCTAATATTATCATTAATACAAACAAAGTGACAGTTGTTTTACAATAAACGCGTAAATGTTATATATCATCAAAAAGGTACTTAGAAAAGATTAAAAAAACCATAGTTGACATTAAGATAAATTTAAGTCTGACTTTTTATTTTATTCACTCCATTATGATTGTCACTTTATTTGTTAGCTGGACTAAATAGATTTTAAAGGAATAACTCGGTTTATCAAAAAACAGCAGCATTTCCATTCATAAATGATGACAAAAACTACTAGTTCAGGATCTTGTTATTAAGTGCATGATTAACAGTTGGATTTATTCAACAGATATCGTGGAATAAATGCAAAACGTAATAATCCATACTCATGAATAATAAGATTAAAAATTCTAGCTAGAACGAGTAATTATTTTGTGTGGGTCTGTGAAATTCTATTATACACTTTTCTACGGCAGTATAACAACAGATCTATTCACATATAGTCAATACATCTTACGTGATATGGTATGAGTGTATTTTTCACGACTACTGCCTAAACGATCAATAACCTGTATTCCTTTTAAGGGCACGAAATTCCCCTCGTCGTAACTGATCACATATAACATTGCCTATATGTTGTTGACAAAAACTGAATGAACAAAATGTACAGGATTTTATTCATCTACTTCATTACTTACTACTTAGTAAGCATATGTATAAAACTAAACTGTTTTAAATAGTAGTCAAGATTTTATCATGTAGATTACGAACTGAAAATAAAAGCTGCTATATCAAAATACATATCAGAGTTGTCAGCTATCATCATAATTCTGCAGTAATTTTGTGCTTTCTACTCGATTTTCAAGTTACACATTTTACAGTGTAGCATCTATACGTGTGTGTGATTGTGCGTGCGTGCCTGTGTACGTCTCTCAATGGTGGAATAACAATTTAAATGTATAATGTCAGTTAACACTTCTGTCCTGGATTATTTCATAGGTAAACTTTAACAACTTAAATTTTATTCAAGTCTAATACACGAAAGATAATCATGTACTCGTCATTAACAATTAATGACTGAAAACAGTAAATAACAGATCACAATATGTTTTAATGTTAACCAACTATATTATTCAGTACTACGTAGAATTAAAGTCACTTTAGGGTAATCTAAGTACTCGACAATTGTACTTACTAGTTAGTTGTAAATAATCTTTTTGAAAATTAAATAACTCTAGTTATCATATGTTGTTTTGAAAATCACAATAAAAATCACGGTAAACATTGTTTAATCTAACGAAGTCTTGTAAATTCAGTTAACTCGAAGCTGATGAGTTTCATTCTTGAATAAAGCAATCAACCAATCTTATTCGTTTTATAATAATTTCTTAGCTTATTTGAAATAATGAGGTAAACAATCTTGACAAAATCATTATTAACTGTAAGTATGAATTGATAATTTCAAATAAATTAAATATTACAGAGAAAGTAAATAATTATACATCATAATATTATCATGATTTTCTTTGCCAATATTCAAATGAGTAGAATTATGAATTTTGGATATTTCGTGACTTACTGCAAGCTACTTATTCAGAGTAAAAACAATATACATCCGAACTGTATTAACAATGGGTTCAATAGAATTTAGGAACAAAACAAAATATCTAATTCGAGAAAACTTGAAAACAGTATAGACTTGAATATGTCAATAATTATTGTAAGAAGATTATTCTTGTTTACCGAAACAGATAATAATTAATATTAATCACTTGACTTACATTTATCTAACTGAAATGTACCTTAAGCTAAATTTCTATATCAAACAAAATGTAAACAATTTACTCATTAGTTTTAAAATATATCAACTTTAATGTTTGTTAACTATTGGTATTAGTGTGGAAATTCGACTGAAATTAATAACTATCAGCTAACCACAAAAGTTAAGAGAAGTATGTAAGCTAATACTCTATTGACTTAGTGTCTCCATTAATAAAACATTCATCTGCTTTTCAAAGTTATTCAATGTTAAAATATAGTTTGTTTATCAAGTTGAATTTTATCGATAAAAAAAGGTTGAAACTTTAAAACATTTATTCATGATTTACACAGCTCACTTATTGTAATAGCTCAATTATATTGGAACTACAATACTTTCTAGAACAGATTGGAATTCCTAGGAATGAGTTGGACTTTTTATGAATACGAATACTGCTCTTTAATCTCTCACGGTTTGCACGAAAACTACTGACAAAGGATCAGTTTTTCTTGAAACCATGTAGCACCATATCAAGTACCTAATTTCAGTAGCAAAATTTAGCAAAAATAAATAAAGAACTAATGATTTATTATTAATTATTATCTCATTTCAGTCCATAATATTATTATGGATTGCTTGTTCACACTCTTTTTTAGAAACCTTCAATTGTTTTCTCTTTAATTTTTATAATGATGAGACCAATGAGCTGAAAATTAGATGTATAAAATTCACTATGTGTATTCGAAAACATTGATTAACCATAGATATATAATTATGCTCAAAAATTTAACATATTTCTAATATATTCTTTGATTTTTGTTTTCATCAAAACCATCGTTGTAACTTAATTGAAAGAATTAGATTAATAATAAGACTTATCACACATGATTGATCATTTGTATATGTTTATCTCAGTCCTATAGCAGATCGGCCGAAGTTCAAATAGCCCAACAGTAACCTTTTTGACTGTAAAGCTGAACGGTATAGCGCCAAATCCCACACAAAGCATCCCTACCCTCAGGATTACAGGTACAATTTGCTAACAAATGTTAAACACCACGAAACGAACTACAAACACTACGCCCCGAATCGAATTATATGGTATACATATATGATCTATTAAATATAAATCTGTATATATATGCATATATATATAGTGTTAATCAAATCTATCATCTGTTTACATTTTACCAGACATGGATTGATCAATTACTTCGTTGGGATCCAGCTAATTATTCAAATATACGTGAAGTAAGAATTCCACCAAGTGTGATATGGACACCAGACATTGTACTTTATAATTAGTAAGTGAAAATGAATCGTACTTTATTTTGTAAATAATTCCTTTTGAATATAATTAACTTCTCTACAAAATAAAACATCCACTGAGTTTATTTTTTTTAAAGTATATCGATCGTCAAAATATGTGTATTCATAACTTGTTTTGAAGTATTATTCTTTTTTTCCGTTCAAATCTTTTCATTTGTATTGAATCAATAGGCTTTTTTTTTCTAGCAAATGTGTAATAACAGAATAAGTTTATAATAATAATATTGTTATTTTTTAACTTGAAAGTAATTTATGCCAGTCAATAATCTGTCATTTGAAAATCTATCCAAAACAATCTACATCAAATTGAATTTCCAACATTCTTGTATGAAAACTTCTACGTCATTGACTCTCGTCATACTACTATCTAATCATGATGGATAGGCAATTTTTCAATAACTAAATACTTTCTCGGTACTCTTTGATTTATAGTGGTTTTATATCTCACGAAAATCTTTAGAAAAAAAAATATCTCCACGTAATCAATCATATGACATTTTAATTTAGTTGGTTTTATACTTGACCGAAATTATCTAAAAAGATGTTGTTTGATTAAATTCTTAGTTTCTATTTGTTTACCTGTAGTTAGCTAAACTTTTTTGAAATTCATGATAAATACTGTTATTCAGAATAAAGATATTTTATAAATAGTTGTTATGTAACACCGAATATCTTGATAGAATATTTATTTAAAAATAGTTTCAAACAGATAACTTGAGAAACGTGATTTCAACTGGTATTTCAGTATGAACAGAACGTTAATTCGACCACTTCATTATTTCTTCAAAACTGTTATTCTTATAATAAGTAGTAATGTTTCATCCTTAAAAGTAACCTAATTTTTCACTCACATCACTTCATAAAGTTTTGGTAAGATGCCTCATGAAATGAATTGAGGATTCATTGAAAATGAAGGCTTTACATACAGCTTTTTGCATTGGTTGATAACTGATCTACACTACCTATAATGCTGTGAGACGATGTCAAGCATCATGATCTTCAGGTTTCATGTAAGAGACCACAATCATTCGTTTTTATGGAATCAATAAACAAAACTTTAATATTTCTTCTATTTGGTTTACTCTTAGTAAAAATAATAAGAATATCATTGGCTTGTAACTGTCTAGATTTCAGTCTCATTAATCAATGTTACTTTTTGTTTCACTTTTTTTCCAACATCGTATTTTCGCATCGTATTATTTTTAGTGCTGATGAACGTTTAAAAGAGAAACGTGATGTTATGTTAAATGTTGATTATATGGGTCGTGTATTTTGGAGTCCACCAGCTATATTTAAATCAAACTGTCCAATTGATATAAAAAATTTTCCATTTGATTATCAACATTGTTTTTTAAAGTTTGCATCATGGACATATAATAGTGAACAATTAGATTTACAATTTTTGGACAATCGTACTGAAGTTGATATAGATCAGTATACATCAAGTAATGAATGGTCACTTGTAGCGAGACCAGCATATCGATTTATTATGTTATCTGATGAATGTGGTAAAGAAATACCGGATTTAACATTTTTCTTATTGTAAGTTTTGATTGATGAGTATTTACTGTGAGTATTTTTAGCTGTTTTATAATGTTATCTATTCTTGATGATGATATCAGTTTCTTGAAATATAAATAAGCGCTTTTTTTGAATAGTTCAATATTGACAACATTTGGTTCGCGAACACTAAACGCACAGTTACTTTCTAACCCACTAGTCTAATGTAAATTTGGTTATTGTAAAACCTGGTTTGTCGTTAGGTGATAAACGAACAGTAACCGAAGATTCCAATGCTCTGACATAAATGTTGTTGAACAATATATGGTTCTCAGTTATATCTTGAACATGGTCAGTTCGTGGTAATATAGCCTACAAGCTATAAAAATTTGAGAAAAACTAATTTTTAAAGTCTCATACTTAATATTATGAAGATGATTAAATAATATTAACATTTTTGAGTAAAGAAAGTCCTAAAAATATTGATATCATTAAATCATTTGTTCAGTATAATTCTACCGCTTGTGTGAGAAGTCCTAATATACAATCGTATTGGTGTATATCTATAGCTCAAGTTGAGAATTTTTAAGGAACTTATAGTCTCTGAACTGCACCGTTTAGTTGAACGTCTTTCATTAGTCTTCGAAACAGAATCGTCGACACATGCTTCAAAAAAATCAAGCTTTAAGCATTTTATAAAATCACGAATCAATCAATATAAGACCACCATTAGAAACTTGGAAGCACTGGACAGCCTTTTCGTCCTGATGTGGGACTCATCATCAGGGCGCATCCACGAGATATAAGAGTCGTGGTACACACTGTTTAATACTCCCATACGAGGATGAAACGGCCGTCCAGTGCTTCCTAGTTTCTAATGGTGGTCTAACGTTGATCGATTCATGATTTCAGAAGGTAATTCAACATAATATAAGCATTTTTAGCCGTTGACTAGCAGCCTATTCTTTTGATATGGAATTCAGTTGATTATTATCCATAACAGTAAAGAGGTTATAGCTCATAAACCACAGCATCTTTATCATACATAAATCTGCTTTTTGTCAGCTGAAAAGACGTATTATCCAGAAGACTATTCTTAACTTTGATCAATAGTGACTAAAGTTAACAGTGCGATCTCGCAAGCAGTTCTCACCCAACTATATTATATAGCTGTATTTATATATCAACCGGCAGTTTATTCATTTATGTTAATAACGTCAAACATGATCCAATTATCAAACCTACATAAATAATAAATTAAATTCTTACTATGTAAACAACTACAAATAATTGTGACTTCTTAAACAACACAAACTACATTGGTAACTGTATTTAATGTCATTTCGCTCTGGCATTTTCATATCACCTGAAAAACTCATAAAATGGTATCTCCTCAATACGCAGATGACGCATATATCTGCGTGAAAAATAAAACATTCTAAATGCCGATCAGTGCAATCGAACATTTTAAGAGTGCTTTTGTTAGTAACTGTGATTAGGCAACTTGCATTAATTAGTATACACTTTATCAAAGCATGACATTCACAACTTCAACCTTATTTCATCTATTATCATCAGTCGATCTAAACGATAAATCTGAAAGAATAAAATTTATTATTGAAACGGAATGCGAGAATTTCACAGACAAATTGCCACACTGACAGAAAACTTAGGGCTAACATCCGAACTCAATCTGGTATGATGATGCTTGAAATACAATGTAAACAATCAAAAAAAGTGACTTCTTTATAAAGTTTCAAATGACCATTCACTTTCTTAGTGTTTTTTATACAACAATCAGTACAATCGTTTCGCCATACTTGCAAATTTATTTTGTACATTCTTAATCCTCACAAAATTGTAGAATATTTAAATTTGTCTAGTGAAATCAACAATTTCAGCTATGTATGTCGATCATAGTTTAGATTTCAAATTTCACGCTTATAAAAATTGTTTTAATTCAAACAAACTATCCTTTCTCTAAAAGCATATCCATAAATATTTAAAAAAGGGGAAAGAAAAGTGTGAAAAGATTAGTTTGCGTAAACATTTCACATCAACATAATTATTAGCATTTAATTTTTGTTTTTTGCTCTCGGTTCGTATTAAATAAATAGACAAAAGATAACAAAAAATTGGTTTTGTTTATTTCAACTGGATTGTGTTTTTGATGAAAATCTCTTTTGATTTTCAAAAAAAAAATGAATTAAGTTAAAAGTAGTTGGATAGAGAGATTTATAGAAGAGGAAAAGAAAATATTAAACACATCCTTCTAGTTACTTGTACATATCAGTCTATGCATCTAGATTAGGTGATAATGAAGTCAGTTTTCAAAATTTCATCACAACCGTTATGCATATAAACAAATATTAAATGTTCATTCTTCTATTCGACTTTAATCTATTTTTATTTCTCCTACTTAATCTTTTATATTGATTATACTTTCAACTCTTCAAATATTTGTAGCGAATTTATTCAATTGCTATCAGCAATCATCGTTCATAGCTCATAGTTAGTCTGAAGAGTATTAGTTCAGTCACAGGCACAGCAGCAGAGGAATCTCAAACTAGTATTAAATAGCTGTCTACGAGCTTTCTAGTTTTTGATGGTTGTCGAATTAAGTTTACTCTGTAGTGTAAACTGTAAAATTCATCAAAACGTTCTGTTAGTTCTTTTCACTTTTCAACAATGAGTAGTTTATGCAGTATAGTGATGTTATACGAAATTTGATTGGTACAATGTGGAATTCAAACGAAACAATTTGGATTTATTAAGATATTCTATGATTTATAGATTAAAATTCCAAGAAATCTTTATAAAAAATATTAACATCTATCAAATAATAACTAAATTATTGGTTAGATTATTAGTTTTTTCTTGTTTGCAAACAATTCCACTCGTTTCGCCTAAAGAAGCTGAAAACAAACAATTTAATTTGTCATCTTGTGAATACTTTGACTTCCAGTATTTTGCCTTAATGATCTTTCAACATCTAATCAATAGTGTTATTAAATATTTTTACATGGTTTGACTAGTATTTTTATTGGTTATTGATATCTTTTTTTCATGTAAGGCCAATAAAAGCCGAATGGGACTGTATGTCTGTTTCAAACTGATGAATGATTTATACTTATAAGATTATAGTATTGACTTTCATGCTCTATAAATGATTTAGCCAACTTGTCTTAAGTCATCATTTTATTCTGAGACTTAGAAAGGTTGAATATTTAGTGAGCGTAAGTTTTGTCGTTTCATATTTATAATTCGGTCATTGGATCCTTTATCTTCAATCTGTTACTTCTTTGTTGTACATCATCTGTCGGTACCACACGACTATTTTAGATGCATTCCCGCACAAATCTTCATATACTGTACTTACTGTCACTCAAAATTTATTTTTTATAGATCAGAGTAGTTGAAATTAACAGACCTTGAACGTTCAGTCTTCAATTTGCAGACGTACTAGATGTAGACTACGCATTTAGACATTGATAAAAGCTCACGGATATTTGTTAGCTTTATTGTTTATTGTTATGAAAACACCGATTAACTAAACGAATTTCCTTTTAAGACAAAGTCACAAATTATCTAAAGAATAATAGAAAATCAAAGATACATTCATTTTTTAAACTAATTTCAGTAAACCACTCGATTTAGATTGAATTTGTTCAAATTAAACATGCATGTGAAATTTCAGATTAAATATTTTTGGAATTATTACTCGCATTAAACGAGTTTTTTGCAAATGTAATAATTCACAATAATTTTAGACTATTGGAATACTCTTAGTTTAACTTATAAAATTTCTGAATGATTCACTCACTAAATGAATAAAAACGTAGTCGCCTAATTTGCTGCCGCGCGATCAAAAAATAGCGTGAAATGTGCTATTTATTTAGTCGTTCAACGGTAAAGCAATTACATCAATCAAGTTATAATAAAGTCACTAGTTGAACTGTCACGATATCACTTACCTTATATTAATAAGTTAGGCAGTTTTAGGTGGTTGGTAAGTAGTTTTCAACCATCATATTTTTTTTAGTCATGAATAGAATACATGATATTACAATTTTAAATAAAATTTAAAAAAATAGAGATATTTTTTAAAAAGTTTATATTTCTCTCATTTTATTATTATTATTATTTTCAGTTTAAAACGTAATCCTGCTTTCTACGGATATTTGTTGGTCTTTCCGTGTGTATTACTGAGTGTGATTACAACAGTGATATTTTGGTTGCCTCCACAAATACCAGCTAAAATGATCCTTAGTAAGTGTTTATTACTTTCTATTAAAATCAGTAATAATCAACATATCTTCAATTGTGATTTGATAGCACTATTTCCCTTATTCTTTGTTTTATTCAACTTCCTTCCTTAATCAATGTGTTAATTTAATTAAATGGAAGTATTTATCGAAATTTCATGAATATCTGTGCACTTTTAATAGTAATGTAGATTATTCACCTCAGTTAAATTAATTATCATTCTTTGAAATTTGATTAAAAGTTAAATTTTTTATACCGATTTATTTGCATAACTGATAACAGTAAAAGATATCCATTGTATTATAAAGATAAACATTAAAATCATTATTGATCTGGCGATTTGATTGATCTTGTTAAGCTGGAGGTTATATCGATCAAACAAAATTATCTTCTTTTTGAGTACGGTTCTATGCTTTACTTTTTAAGCAAGAAATCATGTCAATTAATACCTCTATTTATAAACTGTTCATCAATATCCGCATTAGGTTCATGTTTTAAAATATTCTGTTCAATCGAATAAATCAACTTAATGATCAGATAAAAGTGTTTTGAACAAAATGAAACTATTACTAAGGATGTAATTTCAATATTCTAGTCTCCAAATAAATCAGTCACTAGTGAAATGACCTTTGTATTATTCAGTGTCATATGTCAGTCGACTACAAATAAGTCTTTGTCAAGAAAAAAATCGATTAAAAAACAATTTTCTTCGCCACAACGTTTTTCGATTTTGTTACCAACTGAACCAAAATTTCACAGTTCATAATATTCCTATTTAAAGTATATTTTTGAGGTTAATTGACATTGTTTTAGAGAGAGATTACTTTTCATGAATCGATAATGATAACGATTGTTCAATAATAAAGATATGATCTATGAAAACAACTAAATAAAGAGTGAGGTAGACAATTATCAATATGATATTGATTTGAAAACATTCTATGCAGTCTTGTTCAAATTCATTTGAAAGCTTAAAATACTATACTGACTAAATTATCTTTTGATAAATTTAATTCCATAGTTAGATAATGTTAAACTCCATTTCATATATTCTATATTTAGGCTAAATATAAGTTGTAAGTAGTTGGTAAGAATTTATCAAAATGAAAATGAGTTCATATTTCCCTATTTCATTTATCGTCACTTCACATTGTTGAAGCTTGACAAATTTATAATATATCATATTCTAGTCATCAAATTTATTCGAAATAATTAAGAAAATAAAAGAATGTGTTAAAATCAACTAAACATTGAACTTATTTGACATTTATTCAACAAAATGAAAAAAATATCCAATAAGTTCTTTTTTGTTGAATAATTTATTTCATTTGATAATAGTTTATTTGTTTTTATTTTCAAGTTAAAATTGTTATCCAGAAATAAAATCATTTGACGATAATTAAATTTTATGATTATTGAAAACAAAATGAACAAAGTTTAAAACACGTTAAAACAAAATATTTTTCTTACACTTCAAGGCAAACTAGTGTTAGTAATCATAATAAAATTCAGAAATGAAAGATTCCATGGTATTAATATTCTTGTAACAAGAGTTTAACAAAATATCACTGAAGTCCAATTATTCTTGTCTCACTAGACAATTTATTCATTCAACCTATAAGAGATGCGATAATTTAGATGTAAATCAGTCAGTCAACAGGGCTTATCAATAAATTTGAATTACACTTAAAAATGGTACCATACTAAAATCTCTGGAAAAAAACTATGAAGCAAGAACTGCTAACCTCACACATTTTCGACTGAGTGATCAAACTCATCAATCAATAAGAATATCTATTTGTATGTGACAGTTTTGACTCACTCAACTAGTCGAAATAGAATTTCTAGGAAATAAATGCGTATGCCTGTTTATCTATTTCACAACTGTTTACTTTATTTCATGTGCAAAATAAAAGGTATGAACATATTTGTGGCATTTTCACTATTGTTAAAAATACTCGCTGTTTCTACACCATCAGCTTCAACAATAGTACCTTATCTGGGTAAGATTATCTTTTAAATTATATAACTTTTTTTCAATTCATTTTACTTTTACTGCTTATTTAACTATTTATTGTGGCTACGAAACATGGCCAGTCAGAGAAAAAGATATTCATAAATTGCTTGTTTTCGATCATAGGTGTCTCCAAAGCATTGCTCAGGTATCATGGGACTACCGAGTAAGCAACGCTGGTGTTAGGAAACGGGTGCTAGGTAAGGACGGTAGATCAATGGATGAAGTAATGGAACTCCATCAGCTGAGCAAGGTTGGGAGATGTGTTGCGTATGCCCAACCACCGACTGCCTCGTCGAGATATATTTTGCGCTGTAGGAATAGGTTGGAAGAAAGCTAGGGGCGGCCAAACCAAAACATAGCAGAAATCCATGAAGTCAATGACAAGTGGACTGAGTCATGTTAGTAGTTGTCGACCACCTGGTTGGAGCCTGTAAGATGATAGTAATCAATGGTTAGAGACCCTGAATGGCATGGCTAAAAATCGTTTGCAATGGCGCCAGTACATTTATTCTTTTTGTTCTCTCAGATCCTAAACTTTTTAATTCCTCATCCCTTTATCTTTAACTTTTTAAGTTTATTTCACTAGATTATACTTCTTGAATATGCTAATCCTAATCCCTTTGATTACTGCTAATGCTTCTACTTCCTCTACTACTATGAGATCTGAACTGACAGTTACGTCTCTGTGCCAACGTGGTATGGCAACATGAATTGATGTACGTACGTACTTACGTAGTTTCACGTTTGTAATGATTGACTGATTTAAATACTTGAGTACCAATAGATATGGTGCCTATAGAATGAATGTTTTATTGTGGCAAGTTATGTTTTCTATGTTTTTCAGCAACTTATTCAGATCATAAAAGTGTCAAGTAATAAGTTAACAAAACCGAATACATAATAAAGCTATTGTGTGTAAAACTTTAAATGGGACTATCACAAGCGCTGACAGAACTATTCTTCATTACTTAAATATTCCTGTCCAGTCATTACAAATACTTACTGAGTAAAAAATTATCTTTATCTATATTCTCACTATAGGCTGTCACCAGTATATGACTTCACACTGGAAAATAAAATTAACAAAAGTGTTTCATTCAGGGGTTTGTAGAGACTGTTAAATTCAGTGGTTTTTACACATCACGGATTGACCCTAGTAAGGTGAATGTGGGAAACCAGGAGGATCTAGATGACAATTTTGTCCTAGTATAGAAATCTTATATGAAATGCGTCCACAGCCACGCTTGGCAGTAAACGCAGGACCTTCGAATCAGAGTAGAATTAAAATTATATCGATCAATAGGTCAGCTTCTAAATTGAGTCGCTTACCGAAGTTATTTAACTATCATTCTTAAAGGCCTGGGTATGATTCACAGTGAAGTTATTGTTGTGCATAACTGAGGAGTCCCATGCTAAGCTGAAGCAACCATTAAGTGCTCTCTGGTTTTTAATGGCTGTCTAGCGAAGGTCAGTCTGTGATGTAAACTGTAATAAAAATTAAAAGTTGATAAATTAACACTATGGTTATAAAAAAAACAATTCATATTGATTGATTTTAAGTACGTCTTCACAAGAACGAACAATTTTAGAATCAGTTAACTAATCGAAGTAATCGCATAACAATACAGATAAAGAATATAAATATATGAAATGAATACACATTTAGATGGAAAAGGTTGTCAGTAGTTAATACTGATTGACTAAAACAAACCTAACTGCCCTTCATAGAGTATTCCTTAGACGTTTTGTCAGCATTTCACTGACTGTGTCATCTTTAAACTAAAGCTTCAAAAATAAAAAAGACAATGTTAGTGAAAATAATATCATCACTTTTAAAGTTATTCTTAGAATCCATAATATGAATATGTGAGTGTATTATCAATCCATCTCATATTCTTAATTGAAACTAAACATAACAAATCTGAATACATGTGTTAGGAAAAAAAATTACAGAATGATGGATAAAAGTTATTCGACAGTATTTATAGATAATATGAAACTAATTTATTTCATAAAATATCTAAGCAAATATTAATTGACTGATTATTTAGTATTCTTGATTAATTGTAAATAAATGGAAATTGCAAATAATAATTAAATTAGTGTAGGACGTTAATAATGCAACTGTCTATTGCTTTTTCTTCGAGTCCGATCAATTCGTATGTGAATACTACAAGCTTCTTATTTGTTTGAGTCTGTCCGATTGACAGACTTAATTGTAGGGAACGAAAATCATGCAAATATAAAACATGATAACAATAGCATGAAACTCAATTGTAATGAGAAACAAAACAAAGATATTTATGATAAATAACAGAGTATCAGTGCTTGAACAATTGACGAAACAATTATAAACTGATTAATTTTGGTTTTCTGAGAAAGAAATGTTAGCATTAATTGTACTGTTGAATCCATAAAGGCGTTAGGAAATGCTTAGTTAAACGTCTCAGATAAGCTTTAAATAACTGGTCAATCATATACTTTTGTTCAAATCTAGCTAACAAGAAATCAGACATAATCACTGAGACTTAGAAATAAACATAGTAGTATGTAGGCAAGTTGATTTTCTGTTCTAATTTCGAAATAAAATTCAGAATCTCTTCAGTCGCTTTCTAAATCTCTTTTCTTTCGAATACTTCTTACCTGTGATGAAACCTTATCATCTATAAACTTTATAAAGTTAAAAAATTGATAAGTTAATTTACAAACAATATAACACATTACTTATGAAAATAGTCATATGAGTAATGATATTTTAGATTAAATATTTACTTATTAAACATTAATCTACCTTTACATCAAACTGCACTAATATTCAAGAATTAGTCGAAATTCTCAAACATGTGTATCTTGTTTGAATCTTCCCAGTGATGTTTAGGACATTAATTGATCATTCTCTTTAGCATCTGTGAATTCTTTGTGAATTGCCTCGATATTGCCGTCAGGTTACAAACATTATCAGTGGAGGTTGATAGTGGTTAGCAGTGAAATCCCCAACGCCTCCTACCACCTCTGAGATGCAGGTACTTCCATCTAATGAGTGCCAAATAGGACGAAACAAGCTTCCTGCATTCCATTGCTAACCACTATCCACCTCTGTTAAAATGTATATTGTATTTATTAGAATTAAACAAAATTGCTTTCTTTATATCCAAAAAAAATCCTACTTCCTCAAAAAAATAACGTTTAACTTTTTTTAACGCATTTATTTATGCGTTACACGTCACTGCATTTGAAGTTAAAATCTTATCGAGTGTAAATTAAACAATACAATAAATCAGTATTTTATTTCATCAACTTGATCACAAAACTAACTAAAGTATAACACACAAATGAAGTGCTTCATTTATTTTGCAGGTAATTTTAAAAATAGTCCACCACAATATTGAAAGTCATTCTAGCTGACTATATTAAATATGGCTTATTAATTCAAACCTTTATAATTAACTCAAGCAAAAAAGTAATTCAAACCATAAAATCAACTTATACAGAATGAAACAACAAGTATTGGCTTACTACGCAAAGGCGAACAATGATCATTTGGTGATTTGATCAGTTTGATAATAAAAATCAACTTTAGTTTTTCCTCTAATATAAGAGGTCTCAAGAAGGTTCTTTCTCTACGCGAACCGACTGTTGAGTAGTGTCTAATGTCAAGTTTGTCCAGTCCTTTGGAGCTGATCACGGTCTATCAAACAAGTTGAAGTGTAGCCACTAGTTTAAATGAATTGACCTAACATGCACTATTTCTTGATATTTGGTATTTGTGGTTGATTGATAAGAAGTCTTTGACCTAGATTTTGTGCCTGTTGACACATATCAATGATTCGCACTTATAACCATGAGGGAATTTCTACACGAAATCTAAATTCAAAATTTCTTATCGAATATCTATAAACACTTAACATCAAATAATTTATCTTTGTATCAAACAGACAATAACCTTTGTAATTGGAAAGATACTTAAACTACAACAGTGGTTACACAGCGAATTTTCGAAATGTAAAAATAGTTTTTATCACAAGCTGTCTGTCATTAACAACTGTACCTCGTATGAAAATAGTTTTAATCAAGGATTTTTGCTGGCTTATGAGGAAAACTGTCTCCTGCTCTAGGTGTAAAAACATTTGATTCCCGCTAAGTATTCCGGATATAAGCATTCGGGCACGAAACTGAAGGTCCTGGACTCGATCATTTTTGATGACATCGTGGACACATACTACTGAACGGTCTTGTACTGGGACAAAACAGCTATCCAACTCTGTTCTTGTCAGGATCTGTTAGCCATTTAAGCTAAGAAAAGAATCCAATCGCCTAATTGAATTGATTATTCGATCACCTTATACACCTGTTCATTTTCATTAATTATGGAAATTGGTTGAAGCTCAATGAGAATTGCAAATAGTTTAGTTGAATGGGTTCTTAAGGGATCAGTTTAATTTATAGGTTGTATTAGTTTTGTTAAATGATAGTCGCTCAGTATTTCAAGCTGATTATAACTAAGATTGTATAATTAAACTCCAACACAATGGTTTGAATGGTTGTATAACACTGGCTGTATACTATTGATTCTATTTAGTATTTCATTTTTTCATTTTGTGATTCTTTCATGTTCACTACTTTACTTGTGATACGGAACAAAAAGATATCGCTTTCAATCAAATCTATTGATATTTAATCATGAATTATTAATTCGTTCACAATAAATACATAAGTTTTATTAATTTTATGGTGGTTTCTATTGCCTATCTTTAGGTTACTTTTATTGTTTAAACATGACATTGCTTAGTTTGTCAACATTTGCATCGACAATTGTTGTGCATTTACACTTTCAACGTGTAAAGTCAAAACACGTACCACCATGGCTCATAAAGGTGAGTAATTCAAAACACTTTTTTATGATTAAATTAGAAAATATATCATAGGAACATTGCAAACAGAACTATTCGCCTAGAAAAACTTTATAATAATAAATTCATCAACAGAATCTTACATTTACAAAATTTCTGATCACTGAGTAGTAACAAATGTTGTTGGTCTATATTGTAAATATAGTCTTATCGATCAAGCCTATATTATAGTCACTAAGCTAATTAACTTAACCCATTACTTAGTGTTAAATGCTTGAAAACATCAAGTATAAAACCGTGGACTTAATTTACATTTTGGTTGATACACTTTACTAAGATTTACGCAAAATTATAATGAAATTGATGATTTACAGTTAATTCGATTTAGCCACATGCTGTTATGGTTGGAGAAGTTTAAAAGTTTCTAATAATTGGCTGATGTTGCAGTAGTTATTGAAAGTGTATTCATATATTAATTAAGACTCTTCAAAATAATGAAGATCTGTTATAACAATGTGAAGTGTAAATCACATGATTTGAATTAAAAAAGCGCAAGAGATAGTTAATTTTTCCGTTATGATTTTGCTAGTAGTGCAAAGTAATTAAACTGATTGCTTTCCTATATGTTCAACGTTGAATCCCATATAGTTGGGTTATAAGCACTTCTAGATTTTTAAAGTACCATCGAATTTTCGTCTATTGATTGCAATGTGTTTACTCATTAACATATATACTCTGAAACAATGTGGTAACTATCAGTAAATTTTGAAGAACACCTATCGTATTAGTAATTGATAAGGAAAGAAACTAATCCGTAATCAGACAGATGAGGTTCTATTCCAAAAAGACTGCTTTTCAAATTGAAAAACCGATCATAAGCCACGAAAAGATGCTTGCATAAATTAAGGTTTCTTTATTTGTCAATTGTAAATTCTTATTTCAATAAATCTATATTCTCACTAGAGTTGTTGCGTTAAACTCGGCCCATGATCGATATTTATGAATGATCAGGTGTGCTATGAACTAAATCTCCTCATAAGTTTCCCCGTATCATACTTTGGTGAAGCCCGTTTCTGCGACGGATGTGATAAGAAGCCAAATACTGATTCGGTTGAATGAGTTTATTTCAGACAATCGTTCATGTAGACGTGATAATGAAGAGCATACAAGCAAACCGAAGTGGAGAAGGAGAGTGAGCCGACTCAGTTCAAAGAAGCATGACTAAAAATTTTTAGTCAGACAAAAATATGCCAAACATATAATAAGCGAGATAGGCGTGCACAAACACGAACAAAAGCAAAGCGGATATTAGCAAATCATTGACAAATTCAAAAGACTAGGGGTAAGAGCCCTGTGAGCTAGACATGAAAGCACTCAGGATAGACTATAATAAAACCCAAGTTACCAAGGCTGATCGTGTTTGACAATATATTGTCGTTTTCCTCTACGTTTGTATGGTTTCTTTTCTTTTCTCCTGTGTTTATATTCGCCCTTCTAGGTTGTTAGATTTTTTGCAACATTATTGCATGTTTCAAAACTGGAGCCACCTGTAGTAGCAGATACAGATCAAAAACTGAGTGTTGTTGAGGCACAAATTAAAAATGCCAAAATGAAACAAAGTATCAAATCAGAAAATTTACTTGATACATGGTCATTAAATCAACAATTACCATCATCTAATCCACAGTCAAGTTTGATACATTCTGCTGGCATAGATGCACAATGGGATTATAATAAAATTTCTCCAGAAGATTATCCATTAAATCCTAATGAATTTCCTGTTATACAAAAGCAACAACTTTTAATGTTACCAGATGGTTCAAGAATATCTTATCCAACTAGTATGAATAACTGTCACTTTCCAAGTCATCATTCGAGTCAAAATTATCTACCGAAAAAGAGCATTCCATGGGGTGACTATTCTATGAATCAGTCGAATGAACCTGGAACAGCTAAGATACATGATAAAATGCTGAAGAAATTTCAACAATCTAAACAACAATCAAGAAGATCTACGATTCAATTAGAATTCAATTTGGGTGACTTATGCAAGGCATTAAAACAACTGATGCTTAAAATAGCTAAAAAAGATGAAATAGCTCAACGTGATCGTGAATGGCGGTTGGTATTGATGACTATAGATCGTTTATTTTGTTGGTTCTATTCCATTGTGGTTATTGTTGCAGGAGTGTACTTATTATTCCCTAGAGGACGTTCGCATACGGTCAATGAAATTATAGCAATGCATCAAGAAGCTTACGATTTAAGAAATCAAGCTGTTGCAAAACAGTGTATGATGGGACACTCTAAAACAGTATAATACTCTAAGCGAAACCGCAGAACTTAACCTTCCCAATGAAATCATTTTTTTCGACCTTGCTATGTTTCATTATTTTTAGTTCGTAATCAATCTCTTTGATTTCAAGTGTTTATCATCTAGAATCTTAATTTAAAGGTTAAACATTGTTCGTGTTACATTTTTAATTTATTCTCCATGTTTTATCATATTGTTTACCTGAAGTAGAAATGTTTTCCAATCTGCTTAAATCAAATATTCCGTCGTTTTTAACTGAAGCTAAGAAATTCTTATTTTCTAAATTTGCTTAGTCATTTACTCAGTAAATATTCATAATTTAATTGTTTTCATTTCAATAAAAGGTTTAAAATAAATTATTTCTCCAGAAACTAGTTTGAGCAACAAGACATCCAATCATCATAGGAAGGAGTAGTTTATTGGAATACTAACTACATATACGTTTAGAGGCGTTCATAATACCTAAATTAGATACTACGACGCCAGCTTACACAGTCAGTAAATATACTTGACTGGGTTTCAGTTGGGCGTTTTTCTTTACAAGAATGAACTCATTAAGTGAAAAATGTAGTAGAAATGCAGTGAAAATAGGAGACGGAGATGAAATAAACTTAACAGGTCTTATATACATCACATTTTTAAAACCGATTTCATCGTGAATATACACAAATAAGATAAGAGCAAATGAAACTGGTGCTAACTGATTTCCAATCCTAAAAACCAATATTGATGCCTATGTTAACCTTGAAAGTTCAGACATAGTCGACTCCGTTCACCTGTAATTCACAACTGCGTCATGATTGATTATAACCTTTCTACTAGAAATTACGCGGCAAATATGCGAACATTAACGGAAGCTATCTGCTGCATCTTCAGAAAACGAAATATGGATTCAATAGGATTAGAAAATTCCTAGTCGATATAACGTGTTATGTTGCCAGTTAGGCCAGTGGTCGATTTCACAAATTTAAACACTGGTCAATGAACGACCAACCTAGGTTTCTACATCCATTGGTCCTCGAGCCTCTTTTTGACCCAGTGACCAATTAGAAGACGATGATAGGAAGTAGATTAGTGCTCTGTTGCACTCGATTTCTTCATGACTAGAACTTCACACAATGACATACTGAAAATTACTGACCACATGAGACACTAGATAAGTTATCACAATTTAAGGCTGAGCAAGAAGGAGATGGTCAATAAGTTTGAATTAAGGAACAGTAAAATGAATAGCAGTGGTTCATAGACCTGCTGGAATGAAACAATTCGGTTACTTGCTAACTAAAATAATAGCCCGGAAGTTTCAACGTTCTAAATATGCACGCTCCCATAACATTTTCTTAATACCATTATATACTTAGGAATCTGTTACGAGTATTTTCTCTAACCCTATTACCAAAGACGAACTAAATTTATAGCTACGCGACTGGGGGGCACTTCCGATGTAACACGTGTAATCAGCAGTCAATGAAGGGCAGAGAAGACCTGAAACCACAACATACAATGTTAGCCAAGAACTTCACACCAAGAGAGAACACGGAATGGTAACCACGGGTCTTTTACCTGAAAAATAAAATTCGCCGGCCATGTACAGAAAGGATGGCTTCTTTACTAAACAGTCTTATGAGATATCTTGCAAGTTAAGTGCACGTAGAGCTTGCTTTTCCCTTTGCAAAGCGTTTATCCTTAGTCGCCCTGAAATAGAAAGAAAATAGAATCTATTGACAACGCTATACATAGTGATTTTTACATTTTTACACCGGATATGTTTTTAGGTAACGAAATTAACTGTCTTGCGCAGCAGTAACTAAACAGTTGCATAAAACTGTATTAGTTAACCAAAAGTATTGAAAGTCACATAACATTAATGAAAATATTATATTTGGCAGTTATAATCTATGATACAACAACATTTCCAACATGTGATTACAAAAAGGGTTTGCACCCAAGAGATTTCATAGGTGGTAGTCATAATTCAAGTGTGATTTACGAAACGTTGTTTAAAGAAATTTACTTGCAGAGTATTTGTGTAACAGAACAAGTTGGCAAGCTCATATTCGTTAGAAATTGTCGATTAGAAGACTGTCTGCATGAGCCGTGACATTGACGGACTCGTACGTCAGGTGTATGTCGCGTTAAGTGGTTGTTCACTGCTGATAAGGATATGAAAAGAAACAAAAGTGAAAAGGTAAAAAGAGCAGAAAGGCCATTGTGTCTGTCATCACAGCAATATCTAACCGTTTATAGTGACGCAGACAAAGTAATGATTAGTCAGTAGATAAATTTCATACTGTCTGCGAATGTTAAAATAAATAATTGCATGAAAGTCTCCAAATTAGCAGTACAAAAGTTAGGAACAGTAAGTTGTAGCGCCTGTAAGAGTTAATAATAATAGAAGAAAAGTTGGAGCAAGTAGTTGGGAGTCTGCTCATGGAAGTTAGATATGAATACCTAACCCTAACCTTTTTGCATTAAAAATGGCGTGAGCTTATCAGGAAAACTCTGTCCAATGATAACCTTGTCTGATCACATTAGCCAGACTCGTGATACGAGAACTTAAAACTTTACTCTTCATAATTCGACAGCAGACGGTCAGTTATAAAGATCTGAAGTTTTGTCCCGCTGATATTTCGTCGTTTAATACTGTCAATTATTCTATCAATAGGCAGCGTTGACAGGCTGGTTGGTAGGTTGCTAAACATCGTCACTATGCTAAACTCAACACAGTATCTGCGACTACCTGTGAACTGATTTTAATCTTTCGGTGCTTAATTTTACAAAATGAACCTTATGATTCCACATATCTGTGTATGGATGTCTTCTTCACAGTTTCCCAATGTAAGATTTATATGTAGACATTTTAGATCAAAATGTATGGTTGTATACCATATCTCCAGTTTCAAATACATCACTGACAGTCTCCAACACATAATCCTGCATAGATACGTGGGTCTCCTTTCCCTCCTTACTTGTGTCCTACTGGAAATAGAAGGTAACAACGCTATGGTATTTAATAACCAAAATTTTGGTCATCTATAAGTATACAACGTATCTTGTGAAATATTTATGTTTTAGTGAGCGAGTCCGGAAACCAGCTTGACTATGCCCACCACTAAATGTTCCATAAGGTTGCGTGATAAACAGGAGAACAAAATAAATCCATAGTTCAGTGGTTTATTGAAGGAGAACGTTGGCGTTACAAAGGGAGCAGAAACATGGCGGCAACGCGAAGAGAAACGTTGCGCGCAAGAAGTCGAAGAAGTGTTTTTGGTACAACTAAACACAGCGAATACAATAATGTTCACATTTCAAAAACCGCATTTTCTTCGTAGAAGCGTTCCACTACAGCAGCCCCCGCCTAGAAAGGGTTTACACTTTCGATACATAGGGGCTACGTTTGACGAGGGGTTGTCGGCCAACATTTGGTTTTAGCGCGGAAGGGTTGACGAACAGGAAGCGACCAATGAAGCTCGAGTTGTCACCGATAGTCTTCTACGTTGAACTGTACCAGTAGTAACGTGCCAGGTTTGCTGCTCGAGTTGTCACCGATAGTCTTCTACGTTGAACTGTACCAGTAGTAACGTGCCAGGTTTGCTGCTCGAGTTGACGTGCCAAGTTTGTCTATCGGATTGGCATGCCACACCAGCGTGGCTCGTATCCAGAGTCTGAAGATTGCTTTCGTAGGCGTTCGGACCAGATAAAGCTGCAGACGTAGGACGGAACCAGATTGAGCGGAGCCAGAAACGACCATTTCGAAACCATTCGTATACCAGATATATTCGTCACCAGAAAATCGACTGAGTGCATTGACAAGAGCGTGGGTGATCAGGCCAGCTTTCGCCAAGGTTGACTGAAGTCGACGATACCAACAGGACAATGGTCGGAGGTATAGGCTCGGGATAAAAAAAGAAGAAAAGGGAGAAAAGTGTAGCATGCATGTAGTACGAGTGTAAAATCCTATGCCGAACCCGTGGTTGATTGGTAGTTATTCGAGAAAGCGTACAGGTAGGCGTACGCGGCGACCGGAACGCGAGACAGTAGCCTCGTGCGTACCTTGTGAGCCTGCATTCTCATCCGCAGTCAAGTGCGGCGTGGTCTGCTGATCTGGACGTGAGACCGGAGTCTCATCCGTAGATAGTGCAGATGGCGCGTGCTGCTGACTGGGACGTGAGAATGAGGTTTCTGATTTCGCTAGCGTGGGATCCGAAGGAAAAATAAGGATCCCGCTAGTGAGTTGGACGAGTCCAGCATTAAATCTCGATTTACCAGGTAGGGCACTGTCATTGACGTGCGCTGGTATGAGACGATCAATGCAGACTGTGTCCATCAACCTTGAAGGTCTTTTCGTGACGATAGATCACGTGAAAAGATCCTTCGTAAGGTTGTTGAGTACCGAATCTACTAGTAAAAGAACTTGCGGACAGGTAAATAAATCTCAAGGGAGAGCGACCTGTCGATGTTATATTCGAGTTCACACCGGAGGCAGTATTCGCATCAACGCAGATAGTCGTTGGACGTAATCTGATATACATAAAATCGCTGCTCCGTGGTGTGAAGAAATTCCCCAGGCAGATGCAATGTCGTGCCATATATGAGTTCGAAGGCGGAACATTGGATTCTGCCGTTGCTGCTCCGTAATCGCCATGTCGTCTCCAACAAATGCCATCTTTCTGCGAACCGAGTGGAGAGGAGGCTTAAGGACTGTGAGAAAGACGAAGTAATACATATAGCAAGTAAACTGTCAAACTCACGCTTAGCGAAAACTAAGTTGTCCTGTGCCAGTCGGCGAGGTTTTGCCGTGACTGGGGGTCTGCAGGTGACGATGTGGCTTACCACATAAATAATCACCAGTTGAATCTCCTCGGTTTCGTTACTTTGGGGAATTTATCGAATATAACATGAAATAAATAGTAATGCAAAAAATATACATATTAATGATTCGGTACATATCTGTTTGCGTGTTAAAAACCATGGATTTGATATTCGACGAAGTATCGATTAACGCAGCCTACGTGAATCGAATAGCGATTCATAGTGCTGTAGTGGATCGATACCGAGTATGGCTATGGGAACATCAGAAGGGATGAACGTCCATAGATACTGTCGTCGGATACTCAGGTTGATAGTTAGCTGTCGTGTACCGTAGGTAGAAATGACAGAGCCATTCGCAGTGCGTGGTCGAAGCATCGTAGCTTATGACTTACTGCTACCAAACGATACGACAGAAACTTGGGCACTTGTGGCCATCAAGTACCTAGCGTTAGTGCAAAAATTGAGCACGTAAAATAAACTAACAACCTGAAGTGACGGTGAGGAGACAGGTGGAAATGCCATGACCTGCCCCTCGGAGTCTATT